CAGCACCATATATAGGAAAATGCAATCTTGTAATCTCCAATTCAACTCAAAACTACCCCCATCTTGTTTTAATCATAAGTTTTAGTGACACTAGTGATGTACGACATGTGTTGCATGTGAACAATTTAAATATATAGATATTTTTTTGTTGAATCTATGAAAATATAAATTTTATGTGTAATTAAATTAATTGATAAATTTGGTGTCAAATTATATAAAAAAATGAGTAATGCTATTGAGACATAATTTGAGAACATAATGAGTTGTCACAAATGAAATGATGGTGAATTCGTTTAATGCTACAATGGGACCCAACATTAAATATATTTCATCATCATTTTATTGGTGACAACTTATTATGTCCCTAAATTATGTCCATAAATTATGTGCCAATAGCATTAGTGATAAAAAATATAGATTATATGTGTAACTGAATTGAATAAATAAATTATGTATTTGAATTGACTAAATAAATTATGTGTTGAAGAATTAATTTTAGTTTTATTTTTACTAAACCTAGTTATTAATCTATATATGTATTAATTAGTGTACAGTAATTTGAGTTACTGTTGTAATTAAAAACCTAAAGCTATAACAATAAGTAAAACGAATGGCTGAGACCTAATGCTATATGATAAGAAGAGTTTTGATAGGATATGAAAGCAAAAATGATGACATTAATAAGGATGTGTGGGATATGATTGACTTAATATTATTAAATAGGGATGAAATAAAAATTCAATTTTTTTTTACATATACTGACATTTATAAGTAGTATAAATATAAATATAAATGTAAGAGGAAAAAAATAGGTGTTTGTGGGTCATCAATATTTAAGTAATGGGATTCAAGAGTAACACTGACATATAATGATGTCTATATATTTTAGGGATTACAAGACTTAGGGGAAGTAGTGGTGTGTGAATATAATAATAGGAGTAATGGGTCGTCTCGGACTTATATAAATGAGACATGTGACCTAATGTTTGGTTATTAAATAGATTAATAATTGGGTGAATTGTACTTTGTACCCTAAAAAAATTAATATTTTTATTTTGTACTCTCAAAGATTACAAAATTTTATATTATATTCTCCATGTATTCAAAGTATTGCAATAGGACTCTTCTATTAGCTTTCCGTTAATTTTTTTGTTAGTGTCAAAGGGTTGTTTTTTGATGGAAAAAATAACGAAAGTTAACAGAAGTGTCATATTGCAATACTTCTGATACATTAAAGGTGTAATGTGAGAAATTTAATATTTGAAGGTATAAAATGAAAAATTTAAAATTTTTCAAGTTGCAAAGTGTAAAAAGCCCTTAGTAATTTAGCACATTAAGTCTCTGATCTAAGGAATTGTTTGGTCCATGAGTTTAGGGTAGATTAGTGGGTGGGATTGAGAAAAAAATAGTTTGGAGGTCCCACATAACTCGTGTTTAGTTCATTTTTATATTTTATTTTTTTGATAGCAACGATTTTTTTAAACTACAAGAGAGAGGGAGGGGAGTCAAGGAGGGGAATCTAACCTTCAACATGCCGCTCGATTACAGAGGACAAAAAACCATTCGTGTTTGTTTCATTTTTAAGGAAAGGGTATTAAAGGGTTGTTTGTGCATTTATCTCACTTTCGTTTCTAGCTTTGTTATCATCTTAATCCTGTTAATTTTTATTTATTTTTTTCACTTGTTATAGGAAAGTGAGTTTGGCTGACAACTCAAAGAAGAACAGCATGGATTTGAGGTTACTCTATGGAGTAGCATATAGTGAGTCTTGGTTTGGTCGATGGGGCTACAGATTCGGGCGTGGAACCTTTGGTGTCACTCAACAAATGTACCAAAACGCCATTGAAGCAATCCAAAACATACCATTAAACTTCTTTCTTCCTTATCATCATCTTGGCAGTTCCAATATTGAAGTTATCCCAATTTTATTATCAAGATATCAAACACTTTCTGGCCATTCCTTGGTGACATTAGGCCATTTGTTCCGATTCATGTTTGAGCTAAAACTCCGACTTCCAAATGATGGTTTTATTGATGCATCTAACAACAGGGGGATGTTGGTGGACACTGCTTGTAGATGGTCTCCTAAGCGAGTTGAGATGGCTACTCGTGTGATCGTTGAATCCCTCAAGAGAGCTGAATTTCGGTGGGTTTCAAGGCAAGAAATTCGTGACAGCGCTCGTGNTCAATGATAAATCACTTATAAAAATAATAATTTTTTTTGTACCAAATAAAGTAATAAAAATGGTTATCACAAGAGTAGTAAAAATACTCACAAAAGTGGTAAAAATACCCATAAAAGTGATGATTTTTTTAGTTGTAAAATGACCCACAAAAATTATAAAAATACCCTTTAAAATAATAAATTTTAGAAACATGGTGCCAATTTTTTTTTTCCGATACCATAGTCTAAGTCCTTTATATGCCAAAACAAAGAGCAAAATAAAGATATGATCATCCACCTCAAGTGGCAAATTAACAGAGTTTTTATCCAAATTACCATTTTTTTAATTGTCAGTCACTACAAGAATAAGAGAATTTTGATTCAACGGTTCTTTATTCATAACAAAAGGGGCATAGTAAAAAAGCTCTAATGAAAAAACGTTAGTTTCAACCTATTGTCAAAACAAAAAACGTATTAACATTGATAAATTAAAGAAGTAAAAAAATTAGAGCAAAAGTAAGGTATTGAGCTGAAGCAAATACTCTTTTTTCTTAAAAAAATAAATTTTATTTATAATAATGTTTTCTCTCGGCAAGCATACATATCTAATAAACTAATAAGATAAAAAATAATTCACAATTCAACACAAAAGAAATAAAATAAAAATATTTTAATATTCATAAATTAAAAAAAACCCCTTACAAGTACATGGTAGCCTAGGGTTTCTTAACAACAAAAAATTCCTATTCAAAATATAAAGACATGATTGAACAAAAAAAATACTCTCTCCCAGTGGACCAATAAAAAAATCCTCAATGCATCATCAACCCTCCGTAGATAGCATGTTAAAATACAATTTTTGTTATAATATTGTCAATTTTAAGAAAAATAATTAAGTACAAAAAATAATAGGAAGAATTACACTCAGATCCCTTAAAGTTTGTCACTTAATCAGTCAGATTTCTTGACATTTTAAATATTACACACAGACCCCTGAAGGTTTGTATGCGTGTAACACTTAGACTCTTTGCGGTCAATGTCATTTAGTATATCCGTTAATAAATTACATATAAACCCCCTAAAATTTGTAAGTGAATAATACTTAAACTTCTCAAGTTTAAAATGTTATACTTAAACAAAAAATACTCCAACTAAAAATAAAATATCAAATATTTTAAATTTTACAATTAAAGTTCATATTCTATTATGACATTTATTGAAATAAAAATAAAAATAAAAATTTAATTTTTTCTTAAAAAATCATAATTAATATACAATTATATTATTTATTGAAATTTAATTTGGTAGTTCAAACGATCAAATTAAACTACCAATTATCCCAATTAAAGTTAGAATATGATGATGCACAAATCGGATTTGCACACCACCTGTTAAGTGATAAGTAATAAATGCAATAATTAAGAGAGACACAAGCAAGATAAGGATATATAATGGTTTGGTCAACATGACCTACGTTCAATTTAAAGGGCTAGGGTTGTCGGGGTATTTTATTACTTCAAGTGTGTAGGGAGAGTAAGGATACAAGCTGAGAGAAATATGAGAGTTGTGCTCGACTGAGTGTGATATACCCCCTAAGAGTTGGTGGAGTTTACAATTTATAGTCGCCTCTTAATAGATTAAGACGACTTAATAGTAACTAAATAGCTAATCTGGTGGAGCTGACGACCTCTTCTCAACGGATGAGGTAGTTACGATGTTCTCTGCTTCAACTTTAATATTATAAACTCAAGCGTAGGTTGAGCGAAATAATATATTTTTCAGAAGACCGAGGTTGAACCCTCAAGAAATTGTAACAAGAAAGCAATCACACAAATACTAAAACAAACTTAAAAATAACTGATTTGTTTAGGGAATTGTTGAGTAAAGAAAATTGATTTAAATAATTAAAACAATAATAAAAATACTAGAACATCTGGTACTCCCTCTCAATTCCGTACAATAATGATTAAAGACTCAAATCTTAACTTTATACAAGAATCAGATGTCGATTAATTCAAGTAACAAATCAAGTAAGAAATCTTAAAGTTACAATCAAAAGATTATTTAAGAACCTGAATAATCAACCAATTATATTATTTTATAAAATAATGATAATTACCTCAAGCATGAAATAATTAGTTATTTACTCTCAGGGAAATTCAAGCAAGCAATCGATGTACATGACACAACGACTCAAAGATTTTTACAGAATAAAAATTTTGCTATAAGATCAGAAGTTAAATTAACAAAATATCATAAATCATTAAACTCAGAATCAATAATATTATCGTACATCATTGAGAGGCTCTCCCCTAGCCCTAACTTAGCATTTTAGCCAAACATGATGAATTAAAATAAAAAATAAAAAGATGGTAAAAAGAATAATTCTAATATCTAAATGAGAACCCCTATTTATACTAAAAATAAATCCTAAGTATAGGTAGAAGATATAAAGTTGGCTTGAAAGGAATTCCTTTCCAAAAATAAGTCTAGTAAAATTAAATCCCGTGCATAAAATTTTTGAGGCGCGGGTAGAAAATCTGTCCAGACTTTAAACTTAAATTTTGCATATTTAGAAGTTGAATCACCAAATTTCATGAAATACACTTTTGTAGCCCTTGAAGTCTTATTTTCAACCACAAAAAATCAAGTAAATCGGATATCAGAGTCAAAAGTTATGACTAAAATATTGAAAATGTGTCAAATCCTTATCTTCTAGGATACTTTCCTAACTAAACTCTAAATGAGTTTTCTTCTAACTTGGACTCTTATAAGGATTAAATTGCTGCCATATTTTCAAGTCTTCCTATTTCAATCTCGACTCTTCAATCTTTATCAATTGTGATTCTTCTTCTGGTGATTGTTTCACTTGCATTATCCATTATTACTTTAAATCAATCAATTTACCTATAAAATAAACCAAATAACTAGAAAATGTATCAAACTAGAAAATCAAGGAATTGAACACATTTAATCACAAATAATATGCAATTAACCAATCAGTAAATATAGTAAAATAACAATTTTGATGATTAATCACACCCCCAACTTGAATATTATTAGTCCTTAGTAATACATGGATCCTAAAATCTAAAAACTAATAAAATAAAATTAACTAATAAAATAAAACACAAATCTATTTTCGTAGATCTCACGATTGCATTTAACATATGAAACAAATCTTTAAACACCTAGGTTCCCCCTAGTAGACGAGTATAGTCTCGTGAGAGTTTCCAGAGATGATACCCACAAACATCACCCTGTGATCAAATATCCGAATAATAATTTTATAACAATAATTGTTACCACAATATAAAAATTCTCAGATACAAGTCTTTTTATAAGCACATCTAAAGTAAAATATAAAATTCTACGCTATATAAATGTATGCACTTATCATGTTCCCATATAAAATCATGTGTAGTGTGAATTTACTATACCAAGTCAATAATTTATCCGATAATCACCTCTACAACCATCAACTATTCATCTTAATGCCAAATCTCACTAGATAATTCACTCATAAAAGATTCTCTTAGATAATAGTGATTATTCCCTCAAATATCACATGTGAGAAGAAGATATTTAAGTCAAAATAAAATAATGCTCACATGTTCCATTAAAAAAAACGTAATCCAAAAGAAAAGGATTTGACATAGTCTTATGAAAGGAAATCAACACACAATATATAAACAATCACCATTCTCTTTTTTATTCACACGAGTCATGCATCCATCAATACACTCTTAAGATCAGATAGGACTTTATTTAAGGTTATAATGGGGTCTTGGGATTAGGGTTTTGAAACGAAAGATATTTATGAATTCAAAAGACTATCCCGAGAGAACATATACATTACACAACCAAACTTTTTTCCATAATCTTTGACTCTTCACCTTTTAGAAGCACAATTTACAACTTGCTCATATTTTTTTCAACTCATTCTTTCTATTATTTTCTATCTCTTTTTTTTTCAATCTGCTAGACATATAATCTTTCTTTTTTTTCACTTTTTTTCTTCTTAGCAAGACAACTGAATGTATATATATATATATATATTTTTAGTAAGACATCTGATGCAAGTATTCACAAGTATGTAAAACTTTTTTTTTTATCATCTTTTCTCAACCAACATCTCCCAAATTACATAAACAATAAAAAGTTCAATTTCAGGATAACCAAGAAAAAAGATAATATATATTTTTTCTTTCATTGACTTAATTATTATATGTTGGGTATGAAAAATAAAATTTTACTTCAATGACCCATTCATGGCTTCTAGGGATAATAATTTTGAAAGAATAAAGTTTAGGCTCAAATAATATCAAAGATGACCTAAAATCATATCTCAAGAGTTTTTAACAACACACTTCACATGCAAATAATTTAAAGTCAAGAAATAATTCATAATATTGGTGTTGGCCAAAACAAAAATAATGAGACTATTGAAAGAGATTAGTTGAATAAAAATATTCTTTATTGAGTAAATGTAAATAACCCTCTAAAAAGATTGAGGGTGCATTTGGAATGACTTATGAAATTCAAAAAGTATTTTTTTAATAAGTGTTTATCAAAAGTATTTTATAAAAAAACACTTCTATTGAGTAAGTATTGTTTGGACATTCAAATTTAAAAATGCTTAAATTAAAGTTTTTTGTAAAAAGTCAGTTTGGATGAAAAAATACTTATTTGTGTCACAATTGTTAACATCATTAAGTGCATATACAAACATACAATATATATACAATGATACACAAAAAAAATATCGTACATAAAAGAAAAATCACATTAATAAAAGTATGAAATTAGAGCATTCAAACAACAGTCACATTTGTGTGGTGAAAGTCTAAAGCCATGAAAAAATAATGAACCTTTTTTAAAAGAAAAAATTAAAATATTTTATTTATGAACAAGACAAAATTTACAAGAAGCAAAAGGAAAGACAACAAAACTCTCTTCCCATACAACACAACTAAACATGTTAAAGAAAAAGCCAAAAAAAACTTCCACCCAGCAGCAAAATCAGCTCCAGCAACAACCATAATCTCCTAGCTCAGCTCAGCTAAAAAAATAGCATAGCAGCCCATAAACCACTACTACAAACATAGCACAACAAGACTCATCCAAAATCATCAAAAACAATCCTCTTCTTCCTCCTTATTACAGGCAAACAACACAAATCCTAGGAAACAGCCATCCTTACCTCAATAGGAACATTCAGACCCACAGAAAAATCAGCAGATTTTATGTTCCTCACAGTAGTCAAACGATTTGCATCACAATTAGCTTCCCTGAAGATATGAGAAATCTGGAATTTCCAACACTCAATAACTTCTTAATCTGATCCAGAAATCCCAAAAGAGTCCAAGCACACTCACAGCTGCCCAAGACAGACTTTATCAACACCAGTGAATCACATTCCGATCTGATATCATAAGACATTAACCCATAACTCTGCACCAGCTTTAATCCATCTAGTAATGCTTAGAACTCAGCAACCATGTTGGAGCACTCACCATAAAAGAATGAAGCAACCAAAACTAATTCATTTGATAGCATCTGAATGCAGAAAAGTACTTTGAAGAGCAGAGCACAATGTTCTAATGCCTATGGCAAACCATCTACTCCCAAATTCAGATTCTCTAATCATACTAATCCTAGATGACCCCCAGACACCAACAATGAAAAGAAAAGCAAATACTGGGAAAATGGCTAAAAAAAATATATCATCCATTCTTATGTGTGGATTCAGATCACCCCAATTATTGATCAACTGGGCTATAGCCCCAACAGTGAATAAACACAGAACAACAAAATTAGCCATCCAATATAGGATGAGAAACAACTCCAAATTTTTTCTCACGTACAATAAGAACCAAAATTGAAGCATGAGTTATTGCCTGAAGCAACCGGAACAAAGCTTCTATTAGCCCCCATGAAATAAAACAACATTTAATGCTCAGAAATAGTTGAATTGACACACTCCTAAGGTCTAAAGCAAATGAAAACTAGAACAGGGGAAAAAATATTGACTACTACAAACAATTTTCAAATCGTAAATCATCATCTCAAGATGCTAAAAATCTATAGTTCTCATAGATCTAATGTAAAATCAACTCCCACAATAATCATGAATCAAATAAAAACATTTTCCCTAAAATCTTTCAAAGATCTACACAACTTTCATCATAAAAAAAAAATCACAAACCAAAATATACTAAACCACAACAAATCACAAACAAATAACTGCAAAAGATGCCATAAAATTAGTTAAAAGGAGGATGTTGTACCTCGTTTGAAAGGATCTAGTTAGATTAGCGATACAACAAAAAACGGTGAGAGATAAGGTTGCTCCGGTGTCGTCGGTAGTTGGCGAGAAAGAAGGCAAGTGTTGTCGTCGGTCAGCGAGTGAAAGAACACACTCTCACCATCGATGGCGACGATGGTTGCCAAAGTGGAAGAAGCTGTTTGTTCACAGCCGAGGGTGTAGATAATGGAGAGAGTTACGATGGAAAAAAGTGAATGGCAGAACGCAAAAGTGATTTTGATAAGTAAAAGTTTTATTTTTGGACTTAAATAAGTGGTAAAATGATTTTAAATTTTTAAAAATTACTTTTAATAAGTAATCTGAAACACTACTTTTAAAAAAAAAAAGTACTTATAATAAGTCAAAAGGTCAAAAAACACTTTTTTTTAAGTCAATCCAAACGCACCCTGAATCAAAACTCACTAGGGGTTTTATACATCTANATATCATAAGACATTAACCCATAACTCTGCACCAGCTTTAATCCATCTAGTAATGCTTAGAACTCAGCAACCATGTTGGAGCACTCACCATAAAAGAATGAAGCAACCAAAACTAATTCATTTGATAGCATCNTGATTTTGATAAGTAAAAGTTTTATTTTTGGACTTAAATAAGTGGTAAAATGATTTTAAATTTTTTAAAATTACTTTTAATAAGTAATCTCAAACACTACTTTTTTTTTTAAAAAAAGTACTTATAATAAGTCAAAAGGTCAAAAAACACTTTTTTTTAAGTCAATCCAAACGCACCCTGAATCAAACCTCACTAGGGGTTTTATACATCTATGTTTCAAGTTCTCAAGGTAAAATACCTAATAAATTTTCAACTGGATAAAATCTAAAGTGCACAAATTATGAATTTTTATAAAAACATGATACGAGATACAAAAATATAGACTAAAGTTCTATGTTATGCTTAAACAGTTGCAAATTTAAAGCTACGCAAATTATTTTTATATTATAGTGTCAAATTATGCATAAAAATGTTATTTAAATATTTAATAACCAACAATTTTTTAAAATTTTTAAATTTTTTTTAGCAAAGTAAATAAACTGAAAAAAACATAAAGTAAGAATTTTTACAGCACAAAACATACCCATACCCCTCAACCTAAATCCTACATTGTCTTCAATGTAAAAATAAATACATTAATACTTAATAAAAATAATGAATAAAGATCAAAGGGGTAGGAATACTTGATGCCACAACAACTCTAAAACCTAAAAATAAAAAACTCAACAAAAAAAAAACTATAAATTGAAACAAACAGAAAGAAAACTAAAATTAAACATAAATAAAATAAAATCTAACTGCTATGTACAAATAAAAATAAAAACTCACACTCAATCCGACTTAAAGTCAAATTTGAATATACGCCATTTTATTTTTAATGACTTAAAAACATGGTGGCAAAAATAACTCATTTAATCGAACTATCTACTCATTTACCCAATGTATCTTTTGAACATGCAATAAAAGGGATATATATACATTTTTATGTAAATCTAACAATGAGATAGAAAATAGAATTTTATCAATTTAATATTGTAAACCTAAGCGCAGGTTGAGCAAAGTAATATAATTCTCGGAAGACCGAGGTCGAACCCTCAAGGAATTGTAACAAGAAAACAATCACACAAATACTAAAAAAATTGAAAATAACTGATTTATTTAGGGAATTGTTGAGTAAAGAAAGTTGATTTAAATAATTAAAACAATAATAAAAATACTAGAGCATCTGGTACTCCATCTCAATTTTGTACATTAATGATTAAAGACTCAAATATTAACTTGAGACAAGAATCAGATGTCGGTTAATTTAAGTAACAAATCAAGTAAGAAATCCTAAAGTTACAATCAAAAAATTATTTAGGAACCTGAATAATCAACCAATTCTATTATTTTATGAAATAATGATAATTACCTCAAGCGTGAAATAACCAGTTATTTACTCGTAGGAAAATTCAAGCAATCAACGTACATGACACAACGACTCAACTTTTATACCCTCACAAAGATTACATATTTGAATCTCATTACTACTCTTTGATAATGAAAGGTCTGTGGGCTCATTAGCCTTTTGTTGAATAATAATGTCACTTAATTCTTCACTATCAAGGTATTAATGGATTGATCCTTAGTTTGTAGTTCATGAAAAGAACCACTCTCACTATATTGACTATTTCTAACCTCTTGCTCTTGTATCAATAGATTGAGCATGTCTTTTATCTCTTCAATATCTTGGCTTATTTGGACATTGAAAGCTTGTTGGCTTTGCATATATTCACTAAGAATATTCTCCAACTTCTCTTCTTGTGGGTCATGGTATGGTGAATATTGGAGAGGCTCTTATGGTGATGTGGCATATATAGATAACTGATAATGTTCATTTTCTCAACCAAAAACGGGATAAAACGTTTCAAAACAATGGTCGGGGTAAGGTTGAAAAGAATTAGGTAAGACAATTGTCCCATCTCTAAAAAATTGACGAGCAGTTGGAATTAAAGGGCACACCTCAATGGGATGCCCAAACACATCACAAATCACACACCATTCCTCCATAGAAAGAAAAAACTTGACACCTCATTAGAATAGTTTAATAGCATAAAAATAAAAATTATGAAAATCTAAGCAAAGGAAAAATAAAACAAGTAAAAAAAAAAAAAAATTGAGGACGAGATTACCGGATCTGTGACGAATCTCAAATCTAGCAAACCTCAATAGATGTGATGGCTCATTTGTCAAACAATTCCCTGGCAACGACACCAAAAACTTGCTTCAACTTTAATATTGTCAACTCAAACGCAGGTTGAGCAAAGTAATATATTTCTCAGAAGACCGAGATCGAACCCTCAAGGAATTGTAACAAGAAAGCAATCACACACATACTAAAACAAATTTAAAAATAACTGATTTGTTTAGGGAATTATTGAGCAAAAAAAGTTGATTTAAATAATTAAAACAATAATTAACATACTAGAGCATATGGTACTCCCTCTCAATTCCATACAATAATGATTAAAGACTCAAATCTTAACTTGAGGCAAGAATCAGATGTCGGTTAATTCAAGTAACAAATCCAGTAAGAAATCCTAAAGTTACAATCAAAAGATTATTCAGGAACCTGAATAATAAACCAATTATATTATTTTATGAAATAATGATAATTAACTCAAGCATGACATAACAAGTTATTTACTCGCAGGGAAATTCAAGCAATCGATGTACATGACACAACGACTCAAGGATTTTTACAGAGTAAAAAGTTTGCTATAAGATCAGAAGTTAAATTAAAAAAATATCATAAATCATTAAACTTAGAATCAATAACATTACCGTACTTCATTGAGAGGTTTTCCTCTAGCCCTAGCTTAGCCTTTTAGCCAGACATGACGGACTAAAATAAAAAATAAAAAAATGAGAAAAAAAATAATTCTAATATCTAAATGAGAACTCTTATTTTTACTAAAAATAAATCCTAAATATAAGTAGAAGATATAAAGTTGGTTTGGAAGGAATTCCTTTCCAAAATGAAGTCTTGTAAGGTTAAATTCCATGCATAAAATTTTTGGGGCGCGGGTTCAAAATCTGTACAGACTTAGAACTTAAATTTCGCATATTTAGAAGTTGAATGACCAAAATGTTGTGAAATACACTTTTGTAGCCCTTGGAGTCTTATTTTCAACTANGAATGACCAAAATGTTGTGAAATACACTTTTGTAGCCCTTGGAGTCTTATTTTCAACCACCAAAAATCAAGTAAATCGGATATTAGAGTCAAAAGTTATGACCAAAATATTGAAAATATGTCAAATCTTTATCTTCTAGGATACTTTCCTAATCCAACTCTAAATGAGTTTTCTTCTAACTTGGAATCTTCTAAGGATTAAATTACTGTCATATCTTCAAGTCTTCCTATTTCAATCTTGACTCTTCAATCCTTATCAATTGTGATTCTTCCTCTAGTAATTGGTTCACTTGCTTTATCCATTATTACTTTAAATCAACCAATTTACCTACAAAATAAACCAAACAACTAGAAAAAGTATCAAACTAGAAAATCAAAGAATTTAACACAATTAATCACAAATAATATACAATTAACCAATCATTAAATATAATAAAATAATAATTTTGATGGTTAATCACTCTCTATAAGATTCGATCAGAAGATGAGGTGGTGGTTGACTTCTTCCAAGGCGATGTGGATGAGGCTCTTGGGCTGACCCTTACTCCATAGTGGCTTGGATGAGACTCTTAGATGACTCTTATTCCAAGGTGGTTAGGAGGAGACTCTTAGATGACCCTTATTCCAAGGTGGCTAAGAGAAGGCTCTTGGAGACCCTGTTTACTCCCTTGACAAGCTTGATCGGGGTGTGGACCCCTTTGGGCCGGATACTAAATCTTTATAAGTTTGAGCACTTAATTAAGATTGGGCTCGTAACATGAGTTGGGCTTGACCCATTATTTGTTCTCCAATGCCCATGTCCAACGAAACTTGGAGAAGGGAACATTTGGTTGAACGTCTTTGGCTAGCAGAGAAGATGTGCAGAGGTTTGCGAATCTTGGTGGAAACTTGA